ACGCGGGTGTCGGAAGATGGCGGTGGATTTATGCGGATATTCGCAAGACCGGGGCGATATCTAATAATATCTTACCGGTTCGGCCCCTGCCCCGGGTAGAAACGAGAGGAATTCCCATAGTTTCCGAGTATTGGGAGTGCTGTGGATGTTGGCCAACCCCCCCCCCCCACATGATATGTTCATATATGGCGTGAACAAATCATGCACACATTAAGAAATATTATTTCATTGGGATAACACGCTGTTTTCACTACCCTTTCAGTTTCAGTGCTAACCTAAAATACCAAACACCTTTGCTTATAGCCTCTCCTCGAACCGTTTCTCCAGTCTTTGATCCTTATTACTGGGTTGGATACTACTATTGAGGCGAGTGCGATATAATTTATTATCCTTGTATGCCAGGCCGGCTTCATATAGGAGTACACCAGGAATTTCCACTAAGCTCTGCCCCGAGTGGTCACCTTAGGGGAATAAATAGTAGTGGTGAAGATAGTCTATCATGCCATAATAGTCATTTCGGAACTGAGGCTGTTCCCGCATATCCTCGTATTCCGTTAAATTTATGCTTGAGTAAACACATATCCTAAACGCTTCTTTGAAATCACAGCAATCATACTCGATCACTCTGCAGCCGCCATAAGTTGTGTTGGAGTTTTCTGTTGATGGTGCGTACCGACTGACACAGTGACGTATAATCCAGCCGTTGCTGATGCAGGCTATGGTTCCTGTTCGCGTCCAAGATCATGCTTGGTGTTCGCATTAAATTTGAAATCAAAATTGGAGACGTTGCACAATTGTATCAAATTGTCCTCTGTGATTTGGTGCAACATGCTCAGAATTGTTATCGTGACATCATTAATAAATATCAAATGGTATAAACGTCATTAGAGGCTTTGAAAAGAGATTCTTTATAAAACTACAGGAGTTATTTGTAAAGCTTTTTTCTCAGGTCTTAGTAATCTAGGATGTGGGGATTTTCCGAGAACGATGCAGTGAGGGTTGATTACAATTTTCCGGGACCATACCTTCTACAAAATAGGAGTATCATAATTTAAGCCATAAACGAGCAAGGATGTGTCCAGATTCTCCTTGCCCGGCGGGAGACATGGTGGATGGGAAGGTGAGACCTCTGGAGTGTTTCGAAAAGTGAAACTCCTGCCGTATTTTCGCCGCCCATGCCCTTCTGGTTAGTGACAAGCCCGGGTAACGTCAAAAGACAAATTCTCCGCTCCACTAAAAAGTCACAGAAGAAACACTCCGACCACACCACACATTTCCGACTCCCATTTTTCCCGCGAACCCAAAAACTCAACCACCATTTGTTTCCCTTCCATACCGATACCTGGCAAGCCACACCGCCTTCGATACAGTACCAGGTCAAAACATTTCGCCCGACCCGGGTTTTACACCAAAAACAGACATTTTCAAACAGACATTTCCAAACAGACATTTCCCCTCATTACCGTCCTGAAAACACCTTAAATAATTCTACCAGCTTGACAATTACCACACATTTGAATCTCTAGAAGCAGAACTACGAGGGATCGGAGCTGTGCAGTGAACCCAAGCGTCCAGCCCGTCCGTCCTTGAGTGCGGACCAGACGGACGGCAGTGCATGGGTGAATGGCCGAGGCGGACCGGCATCTTGGCATCCGTCAAGACCACTGCCTGGGACGGGCGGGCGGGTCCTGCTGGTTTCTCAGGGTGCGGGATATGCCAGGTCTCTACGGGTGACGGCGGATGACGGCCGGGCCCTGCAGATAACCGCAGGAAGATGCCATTTTTTCTAAGACTGCGGGGCCCGGGTGTCAACCCTTTGGACGGCCGTCTTTATGAAAGGCGGACGCCATGCCCTGCCGTCTTCACCCACCCTGCCCGGGACTTCAGCCCGCCGGGGCCCTGTAGGGCGCCCCGGACGGTTGGGAATACTGGGGCTGCGTGCATTATTTACCGTTGATTCGACTGGTATGCAAGTTGCCTAAATTTTTGCATGGGGCTGCATACAAAAAGGTACATGGCAACATACACTGCACACTGAATTGACATTTTCTCTAACCCATTATAATTTTTAGGGATTCTGCAAAATTTGCCATATTTTCTATGGGCTTGATGATGCTCTTCCGAATTTTGGCGGGTTCTCATAGCTATTGTGTTCTAAGAGTGGATGGTGGAGATTGCGACTTTCGGTGTAAAAAGGGCACTGGATGGGACGATTTGACCTTGTCCTGTATCTACGACCTGCCACGCCTGCTCGACCGACAAGCGGGTGACTACCCAAAATCCTCCCCCTCCCAAGCTGTAGCCCCTAATGGGCAACTCGGCCCAGATTATTATCTTAACGAGGGATTAGGGAGGGTTGAGCGCCGGCAATATCGTGGCATCATACGGAAAAATTGAGGAGCGCTGTTGAGTCGCGAACCGAGAGATTAAATGCAGATAACGCTAGCTATTACATGACGTTTTCATCTGTTACGCAGACCCATCTCATGGCTATCACTCGTACCCACGACACTTACCACAAAGTGTAGCAACACTCTAACGAAAGACTAGTCGCGCGGAGGGAAAAATCACCGTGAAGGAAATGCAACCGTGAGAACACCGCGTGTCAGGTGCTCACAAGGTACTTCGGGAGGAGAGTGTTCGTTGTTCGGTTTTAAGATACAGCTTGCAGAGAGGAACGCAGCTAGGACTAAAATACAGGTTGTGTTCACCACCTGCACCGTGGACCAACTATCACATAAACCCTAGGAAAACTAGTCCCACTCCCATTCGTATATCTCAACCTGACATACAACGATGGGTTTACCGCTCCATCGCAAGGGGCTCCGCTTCATGTACCTGAATGACCCCCGGGTATTGATTGTCAAAATCCCGCGAGGCGGAGTTCACCAAGTAGCCACCACGGGGGTTAAATCCGTGCTCTTGGAAAAGGTAATTACTATGGGTTTGAGGTACGCTATTGGCAGTGTCCGGAGCAAAACCTTTCACGGAAATGCTAGCCAAAAAGAGGCTGACTCCGCTTTCAAACACGGAGCGGCTCGCCCGCTCGAAACCGATTGGCCAACCCTGGTAATTGAGTGTGGCGTTTCAGAAACCATTCCGCTGTTGGGGGTGGATTCTCGCTGGTGGTTGGACAAGTCTTTGTGAAAGGTGAAAGCCGTTCTTCTCATTTCTGTCAAAAAAGCCACCCGCAAAATACATCTCAAGCAAGTGGAAATGATCACCACGCAGAATCGTCATCCTGCACCTTCTAACCCTCATACAACCGTGGACCGACCAACAAGGGCCAACAAAATCATTATTGACCGAGATCACGTTACCGGGGTTCCATTAACATTCGGCTACGAGAAAATCTTCGCCACCCTGGCGCAGGTGAAGGGAATATCATTTTCACGGCAGCCCTCCTCCAAGCGTATGCCGATGATGCGTGGCACCGCGCCCAACAAAGCAAGCCCCCGATGCGAATACTGTAAGTCAACCATGCGTAACCTTTGCTCGCAATTGAGCCCAAAGCTGATTGTCCCGGCTACTAAAGCGGTAGATTGTAGGGGTGATTGTTAGCAGGTATGGGCACTGGGGGTTATCCGTATGGAAGTTAGGGTGTAGGAGAGTCAGCGGAGGGTCTTGGCTGTTATGAATTTTACCTTATATAGATGGGGACGGAAACCCTGCGGGCTTCATGGATACCTGGTGGCGCCTGCAGACTTTCGGCATATGCCCCCTGGTTGGTAGATGTTTTGTTAGTGTGTGGAAGACGTCTTCAGATGCATGCTAATATCTGCAGATATCTGAGCATGCCTGAAGATATATATAGATATTCACTAATATCCATGCGGCATCAGAAGGTATCTCCTGCCGACTCAGCTCCGGGACACATGAATAGGGACAAGAGACAAAAGAGAATAAATTCCCACAATTTCCCAGCTTTGAGAGTAGTGTGGATGCTGGGCAACTTCCAATCACTCAATATATTCCTAAAGTGTGGATAAGTCACGCACATGTTAACGAGTAGTATTAGGTTATGATATCATGCTATTTTCCCTACCACATCATTATCGTTACAAACGTAGAATGCCTAACCATTTTACTTATAACCTCTCCTCCACCGCATCTTTCTCCAAGCACTCTTCACCCTAATGATTCCGCGTCGCAAACTATTTCTCCTCTTCTTGATTGTGATTCCCAGGTCGGATACAACTATTTAGGCAAGAATATAAGTGTATTACTAGTACACTGCGGATCTCCACTAAGTCGTGCACTGAACTGTCATTTAACTCATAGAGTATATGTAATGGTGGTGGAAATAACCTGTCACATGTAGGCTTAGAGGTTGTTGACACACATGCCCGTGTTCTGCCCAATTGATACTAAGTATACACATCCCTTAAAAGCTCCCCGATATTATAGCAATCACGCCCAATCACTCGGAAGCCTGTAGATATCTGTAGTCCGGCCAGGCCCAGCCAGATGAGCTCTGGGAGCAGGAATATAGCCGATAGTCCGGCCAGGCTGGCGCTCGGAAAAGCCCAGGCCGACCGCTTGCCACCGGATGTAGTGTGACGCTGAGAGTATGTTACTTCCTCGCTGTGGTCCTTAAAAAAGGGGAACAAATGATGGTGTCCATTCGGGGTCCCGGATGGTTTATGAGGAACGAGGCGATGGTTGATTTTCCCCCGCCTTGGTCAGCCGTTAGCCAGAGGAGACTTTCCCAGTCAGTCCTCATACTTTGCATTCTCCGTTGCATAGGTGCACGTTCCCACGACTGGCGCACGAACACTATTTCGATGGAACTCGTATGCAGAAGCGCACGGAAGTTAAAATCTTTGGCATCTATTATGATAATAATATTATTATGTAAACGACTAAGACCCTCAATTAACCATTAGGGACAAAAATATTAATGCCACAACCCCCCTCCCCCGCCCAGATGCCGCTTGGTAAAAATGTTGATATCTCAATCACAGTCAGTATATATCCCACTTTAAGCCGAGCACTTTGACTTACAATAAAATTTTAACACCCTTCTTGAAATCCCCAACTGTTTCACCGCATTTTAACATTCGGTCCACCTCTTTAACAAACTCTCTCATATCCCTCTTATCCCCGTCTAGGGCCTTCATTGTCCTGATGGCAGATCTTAGTATAGGTTCTTGAGTGATCTCGTGCTCAACCTGAAGGTCAGTAAGCTTGCCATCGATAGCGATGAACTGGCCACCAACATAGGTAGGAAAGGTATCCGGCTTCTTCCTGGTGTCCTCTTTGGTATCCTTTTTGATGTCGCCGGGGCCCCACCGCCAATCAGCAATCACAAGAGCTGCGCCGCTGAAACCAGGGACAAGTGTCTGGCTTCGGAGCGACCATTCTGCGGAGTGCAAGGTTCGGTTAACCTGTGGCCCACTCCTCAGTTTCCGCTGACGCCAGGAAAGAAAACCCCCTTCTAGATCTTTGCGTTTTATTTTCCATTGGGGCGGGTCCTTTTTTCGTACCAGGAGGTCTCCTAGCAAGGGTTCCAGCCGTCCAGTCCGTCCGTCTTCAGTGTAGGACAGGACGGACCAGGCTCATTGTTTGTCTTTTTTGGGGGGCTAGGACGGATCATGCCCGGGAAGGGGAAGAGCGGAGGGACTGTACGGTAATATAGTCCTAGTGCTTGAACCTCCGGTACTACCCAAGTTGAAATCATACACCTGACAAATTATTATCACATCATGAGACATCACTCATTCCACTTCAGGCCGTCCCCCGTCGTCCACTGCAGTCCTCCACCCTCCCTTGCAGTCCTTCACCATTTCCGGACGTTCTCCACCGTCCCCCGCGGTCCCCCGCGGTCCCTGACCACTCTTTCCAGTTCCCCGCCGTCCACCCCCTAGCCCTGAACTAACATGTCTCACCTTGTAGGGCCCACCGTCCGGCAAGGGGACGGCTGTCCCGTACTTTCACCGCCCCGGGCAGACTATAGATAACAGTCCTGTCCTGTCCAAGGCTCTTGGCAGTCTCCCGGACGATTGGGAACACTACTGGAGCAGATATCCTGTCACTTTATTAGCCTTGTAAAGTGAGTGCATGTGTGTTTGACAAACCTTGATCTCGTATTGGGAAGGAAAATAAAGGAGAAGAGGAATTTTCTTGGTCAAACACGACGTTGCTTAACCCGGTGGTGTTGCGTTAAGAAGGATACAGGGGGAAGGGCAGGTTTTCTTGGTTAAATACGGTGTTGCAGGGCTACGGTTACCCTGCTGTCGGCCAAATTTTGATACATCGCGAAGAAAAGGAGCGATGCAACTACAGAGGTATAAAGCTAGCACCTAAGTTTTGTATACAGTGAAAGCTCCGGTATCTCCAACTCTTTGGAGACTGGATCTCATGGAAGTAACAGGAGGGTGGAAAATAAAGAATCGGCTTGGCAGAAGAGGGGGTGCCAAAAGAAAATGAGTAATAGTTCATGATAAGCACACGCCTTATTTCATCTCGGGCGTGTGGAAGAACAATGCATTTCTCCAGGTTTATGGACTAATATTCTATCTTCTCTTGAAAACACACACCTATTCAGCCCCCTACCATGTTGGTTGAAGAGGGGTTTTTTTTTTTTCCCTCTTCTTTCACAGTCAGAGTCCGTGGTGGAGCAGAAAGCTTGAATGCTTGGTTTTCTTTCCCGCCCTCCTTTGGGCAATTTATCTGAAAACCTGTCAGATTCTCCCCTTTGAGGAGAAATAAGATGAAAATTTTTTTACACTAACAAATCCTGGAATTTATGGACATTTACAGTCTAAAAAGAGGAACTAATAGAACTCCAGAATCCAGAGGAGGAAAGCTCATAAAGCGAAACCCGTCTCCTAACAAGGGATAGAAATATTACTCGAGTAGAGTCCTGGAAATATAGGAGGTGGAGTTAGCGGTTTCACTGTATTTTACGAGTACAATTACTAGTACAAGCACTAGCAGGGGTGTTCTGCTGCGGCGGGTCAGGGGTGAATTGGGAAGGCACGACACCAAATTGGGTAGTCATTATACCCAATTCATCACTTTTACCCATGCTGACTGAGCACCCATTGCTATTGTAGTAAGATATACTCGTACTGTACAAACCTTAGGTGTTGTACACGGGTGTAAGGGTATTTTGCGCGCAGTAGTACAAGGACTCATCTCGGGTCTCAGCCATCCCCTTGGCAATAACACCCCCTTTTTAATATCTGTAGGAGGATACTATAACCACAATCAATACACCTCATCTCACCATACCTCTATTGTGAACATGCTGAACTGTGAAAAAAAAAAAAAAGAAAAAAAAGAAAAAAGAATGAAGCAAGCCGGAGTTTGTGAGCAAAACCTACAAGGTGTTCAACACCTTGAAACTACTCAAGATGAGCACATCGGGGTCATTACACTTCATGATGAGGCCGAATGGAGATGGACGAAGATTGGCCAGCACTTAAACATTGACTGAAGAACCTGCCAAAAGGTAAGTATTAGCACTATAAACTTAAGAATAGGAAACTTAATAACAACTTCAAGATATACTAATGGACAAAAGCAAACAGTACACCCTCAAACAGCCATCGTACTGGCTGCCGTCAAATCTTTGATAATGCAAAAAAGCAAGGATTGGAAGCCTTTGTCACACATGATGCAAGAACAAGATGACTTAGCTGAGATGAGATATTTTTAGAGATGGGATACGTGTACAGTCCATGGACTGTGAAAAATGTTACGGAATTGCTAGGCTACCACAGACGAGTACTGCGGCGGAAATTTGCAATTCATTCTGTAAATAAACCAATACTTGTCGCTTGGTGTAGGGAACAGTTGAACTGGTTCTATAAGGATTGGCTTTAAGTGCTGTGGACTGATGAGTCTCCATTTTCCATGGCTGGCTTCAGCAATAGGCCATGGATAACTGTAGCAATCCCTCCTCGGATAGTTAGTTCTTGGCGATGGGGAACGATGCTTCTCTTTTTCTTCTTCTCCTCTTCTGTGTCTTACGATAGCACTAGGCCTTTGCCTACATTACCGATAGTACAAGACCTCAGTCTTCTTGTTAGGCAGAGACAACTTGATAGACTGCAAGGTTGTCTAGGCCAATCGAGATTCGTTTCTGTAAATGGAGATTGCCTAGGAAGGCTCAGACTTTACTCATTTTGTTTATGACTACTAGGAGCGAAGTAAAATAGGTAAAGTAGGGTAGAATCGTAAAAACAATATTATATTGTTAAGGTCTCTTCTCCATTGCTTGATGATGTCTAAAGCTTGGGAAGCACTTCGATATTTATATTCCGTGTCTGAGTGTTTGCGGACTACATCTATTTATCATACAACTATGTACTTCTTCATTCATAATTCGCGACGTCCAGTTTTCTTCCAAGGTGCGAACACCTGTGGACCCTGAAAACCACCACACCCTCTTCGGTAATTACGATATTTCTTCTTAAGAAACATGCTGTCTCCAATAGTAATATTCCGATTAGCAGAGTCTTTAGACTTATGGCCTAGTTCTTAAGTCAAACTGAGTTGGCCCCAATTGTCTTCGCCATTGATAGAATGATTAGTTTTATTCACAGCTATATCTGCAAAGGTGGTCGTTATTACAACCATCGTAGGTCGTCTGACTCCGATCCTTTGTAACTCCATACCCAACTGATAGATTTTCTCTGGATGACTTCCTATTAACTCACAGGAAGCTATTCCACCAGATTGGTAATTAATCCCTCAGTTGACAACCCTTGGTTGCTCTCTGGGTAGTAGGTTTCAGTAACCATTATAGTATTGAGAATTACCCCATGGTTACGACATGTTCCGAAACTCAGTTGCAACACTCTATGAAGTTCGTTGGCTTCTTTGGTAGTGTCTTTTGGAGTTCTAGACTCTTCTGGTGGATGTAAATGTATTTGTCTCTAGTAGAGATCCTTTACCACTTGATACCAGCTCTTTGTGCGAAATCGTCCCGTTACCTACGGCCTATACCAAAGGTGTCATGTCTTTGAAGCCAAATAAGTCTCTTGAGTAGTTGACAGAATCACTCCGTTCTACTTCTCAAACCTAGCCGAAGGTCCCCTCTCATATATCCTGTGAACAGGATCCAGTCGGTCGGACAGTGATGACGTATATGGTGTTATTCTAACACCTTCAATTCTGTGGTAATATAGTCACAGGATGCAACTGAGATTGATATATATGATGATGCGCGGGCCCCGTAAGGGAGCCGAAGGGGGGTGTTGGAGACCAGAGATTCCGATTCTGAGTGGGGTTACCCTACTTAGGGTGGTTCCTAGGTATCGGGTTCTGGTATTCCTAACATGAGCTCCCTTCTCTTAAGGCTTCGCCCCGAATGCCTTTTTGGTACATAAAAATAAAAAATAAAAAATAAACATAAACATAATTTAACCATTAAATTTTTAAACATTAACTCCTTTTGAACCCGATGAGAGTAGGGTAAAAAACCTTCCGCGTTTGCTTGGCCACGGTAGGAAAACCTTTATTTCATCGTTCTTCCTCTGCCCGCCTTGGCATTTCCGGATTATCACAGTGAAATCCATCCACTATTTCCCTCACATTATCCATATCAGCGGCAGGTTCCCAGGTATTCTTATCTTCAGAACATCCTTGCCATTTGTCAAAGTACCATAGTTCACGTACCTCTTGGTAGCGACCGCGTACTCTCTTTCTGTAAGAGCATAACTCGCTTCTTACAATTTTCTCTATTTCTCATTGTAAGTCGCCCTCAATATCCTCGGGCTCTCTGGGAGGTTGTTGTTGCTTCGCGTGTACCGACTCTCTGTAGGGTTCTAATAGAGATACATGGAATACTGGGTGTATGTTCCATTGATCTGAGATATTGAGTTTACAGGCGCAGTTTCCTCGTTTCTCTAAGATCACGAATGGTCCATATAATTTAGGACTGAGTTTTTTAGACTTTCGGTGTATACGAATGTTCTTTGCGTTTAACATTACTTTATTGCCAATTTTGAAATCAGGTTGCTCCTTGGCCTTTTTATTGTAGTATTTGGCCATAGCTTCTCGTGTCTGTTGGAGGGATTCTCTTGCTTGCTCGTGGATTGTTTTTATCCAGTTTGCATATAGTGTGGCTCCTGGACTTTGCGCCTCGCGTTCCTTCATCCAATTAGTTTGTGAATGGAATCCATAGTTTGCGTAGAAGGGTGTCATCCCGTGTGCATTGGTTGCCGAATTGTTGTAAGCATGTTCGGCTAGAGGTAACAGTTGGTACTAGTCATCCTGATCATAGTTGACAAAACTTTGTAGGTAACCTTCTAGCACTTGGTTGGTTCACTCAGTTTGTCCATCCGTTTGGGGATGGTACGCTGTAGACATCCTCCTTTTTATATTAAGTGTTTTGCATAGAGATTCCCAGAATTCTCCTGTAAACTTTGAATCCATGTCTGAGACAATTTCTGTTGGTAAGCCATGTAGCTTCCATATTTCCTTTGTAAAGACTGTTGCCACATCTTTTGCAGTGGTTGTTCCTTCCAATCCGACGAAGTGAGCCATCTTTGTAAATTGGTCAACTACTACCATAATTTGAGTGCATCCTTGACTTTGGAGTAACTGTGTAATAAAGTCAACTGAAATTGATGCCCATGCTGTGTAGGGTATTAACAGCGGTTGTAGTATACCATACTTCACATGTCGTGGGGATTTGTTGTGTTGACAATCATCACACGACCGTATGTAATCGTTTACCCAATCTGCCAGGCCTTTCCAATAAAAATCCCTCATAATTATCTCAAGGGTTTTTTCTTGCCCGAAGTGTCCTGCTATTTTAGCGTTGTGACATCCTTCAGCTATTGTTGTATAAAGGTCCTGATTTTTTGGTACGAATAGTCTTTGCTTGTAGTAAAGTAACTCGTTGGATAAGGTTCAGTCTTTCGGGAAAGGTTTGCCATGGTCTCGTAAGCTTTCTAACTCATTTCTTCTTTTAAGCCATTCTCTATCTCCTGGGATGACTTTTAGGACTTGCTCTACAAATTCCAGGTTGAATTTCTTTAGTTCCTTATAGGCCAGTATAGCGCTAGTCATGAGTGTTTGTTTGGGTACTTTGGTTGCATCAAACCAATGTGTATTTTGATTTATTGACGCATGTAGTTGGGTGATTACCGGCTCTAATTCTCGGATAGTAATAGCCCTTATTACGATGTCTGTGCTGCCGAATCCTGATGTACCTCTTTCGGTATTTTCTAGGTTGTCTATTTCCATCATCTCTGCAGTAATAATCTTTTCTATTACTAGTTGGGCAATTCGATCACCGGC